AACATAACTGTGATTCATTAACTATCAAATAATCAAAATTAGAAAAAGTTCCAGAATTAATTGATTTTGTATAAACAATTTTATTAAAGTTTCTGTAAGGGCCTGAATTTTCACAACCAGTAACTGAGCAAGGACCTTGATTAGGATTGCGAGGCATCTTTAAAAAAATAAATTGTTTAGTTTATTATATAATTATAAGTTAAATTATTTTGTATTTTCCGTATAATAAAAGATTGTATAAATATGACATTAAATAAATACGTGTGTAAATCGTGTAACGTGATAATTTCGAATGTCGATCAAAAACAAAATTCCATTATGCTGCCCTGGATGGAATGTCAATCCGGATCTGCAGAAGAAATTTTTTTAATACAATTTAATTTGGAATGTTTAAACAATTATTATAAATATTCTAAAGGACAGCTTGATGAATCAAGATCAGTTAGAATAATATTTTATACAATAAATACAATGAAATTTGTCTCTTCAACAATTACTGTAAGTGCTTATTCGCACCAACATATTATTAAAATTTGCAAATCTCAAACAAAGTCACAATTATTAGTAACTATTAATATGATTCAATTTAAAGTATCAAAGCTAGGATCAATTTTACGTTTACTTGCATTACAAATATTTATTAGTATTAGATTCTCGTCAAATTAATTAGATATAGAAATAGTCTGCCAGATTAATCGTATGACTCGATAAATAGATAAATAGGTATTATTTTTGCTGGGGCTATTTGGTTAAATTGGATCAGGGGAAAAACTAAGCTAAATTAGAACTTTTCTTTTTCAAAAAAAAAAGAAGAGATTGTGTTACGAATAATTAATTATTTCTTTTCTTTTTTTTCCTTTTTGTCTTAATATCATTATTACCTTTCATACCTTCAATAAATAAAATTTATCAAAGTATTTTCTTACCTTCTTCATTTGAATATACTTAAAGATGACAGGTAAGTAATCACTAAAATATTCATAAACATGCATTCATTTTTATTCATATTCATTAGTTACATATTGCTTCGAAAAATGATTTCTATATATTCTTTGACAATTTTTAAACCTTCTCATTCAAATACATCAACTTAAAAAAACCATTTCATGTCATATAATGTTATTGATGCCATTTAAGACTTCATTGTATTCTTGTAACATTACTCTTAAATTTTTATTTATGTCGAATCCTTTATCATTTTATGTTCACGTTTTCACCTTTGGTGCCTTTCATTCTTCCTTAAATCTATATACCATAAAAATAAATCCTTATTTTTTGAATAGTCAATTGTTTACTCTTTTTAATACCCTTACTTATATTATTTCTTCTATTCACATTGTTTTATAAGTTTTATGTTAATATGCAGCGATCATCTTTTCACTATCTAGAGAGAAACAATCATAAGTTTATAAATTTATGATTTTTCGTGTTTTTTTTTATTCTGCTTCTTTCTTTACTCATATTTTGTTCATAAATTTAATTTTACACGTTATTCATATTTCTTTTACTTATATCTTGATATATAATGTAGCATTATTTATTATCAAAAAACCCAACTTTCTAGGATTGGCTCTCTCTCATTTTTCTTACGATAATTAATTAATTGTTCATTAATTATTCATGTGTTATTTACTTTATTATACATGCATTATTATTTATTAATAGGTTCAGAATTTATGAATGTTGACACTGAACTCCATAGTTTCAGAAGACTCAGCCGAGTGACGTCCAAAGGACAGAATATTAATTATAAAGTATAGTCAATTACTCTAATGACTCTTTCCTCATTTACTCTTACTAATTGTTTAATTTATATTTATATCACTTACCAATTCAATTATTATTATTATTGACTCTTTCGTTAGATTTCTTCCTCTTCTTCTTCGTCTGAAGAAGATAGTAGACCAAAAAATCCAGGATCTTCTGAAAAAAGATTGAAATCTGAAAAATCAAGAGATGGTAAAATACAAGGTATTAATTGTATGGTTGGTTAGAATCACGACAAAAATTATTTAGTTTTGCTTAATTCAATTACAATTCTTTCGACCATTATCTTCCTAAATCTTCTGTCTTTTATTTATAATAGATTATTGGGGTGGTTCTAGTTCATCATCACAAACCAGTAAAAATACTTCTTCGCAACCTGAACCATCAGACGATCAAGGGCGACATTCTTCTTCAAAAGTCGCATCATCTAAAAAAAGTAAATATTTCATTAATCCAAATGATTGCATAATTAAGGATAGATATTCCAAAAGAGCCAGAACTATAAAAAACTACAATGAGGATGAGTTAGATAAACAGCTTGGCCTTGAAGCGGATTATAACGACGAAGAGGGTGATGATTCTCAATTTTATGAAAACCCACAACCGGAAGAAGGTAAAAGAACAATCACATGATTCAAATCAATACTCTCTTACTAAAAAAAGTATTACTTATCAACTAATCTTACTATTTCTCTCTTCTTTGTTTCATCCGCATCTGTTATAGAGGAGCATAATATTGAGAGTGTACATGACATTAAAAGAATAGAAGGAGGGGATGGTAAGTTGTTTAACATTGTTAATACAAACAAATAATAAGTTGAATTCATTACAAGTTCTGAACTTTGTCATATGGATTCTGATGATAATATAGGTTCCAAGAATTCAGATGACCCTAAAACAAACATGGTATTTCTAATAAAATGGAAAGGATGGAGCCATCTGCATAATACTTGGGAAACTTTTGAAAACTGCCATGGTTTAAAAGGCTTCAAAAAATTGGAAAACTATGTCAAAAATTATTTGTCCGAACAATATTTGTTGAATGAAAGTCCTGAAGACAAGGAAAATATTGATGTTAATGTGGAAATGTCTAGAGAAATGTTAAAGGATTACAAGACAGTCGAAAGAATTATATCTAAAAGAGTTACACCTCGTATTGAAGATAATCGTCCTGGAGTTGAATATTTATGCAAATTCAAACGTTTGCCATATCAGGATTGTACTTGGGAACCAGTTAACCTCATTCAAAACGAATTTCGATCTGAAATTGTCGCATATAATCATCGTAACGCCAACCAACGTATCCCTCATAAAAGCAGCCTTTTGTCAAAACATAGGCCAAACTTTAAACCAATGACACAACAACCTTCTTACTTGAGTGGTGGCGAATTAAGAGATTTTCAACTTACTGGTCTAAACTGGCTTGCTCATTTATGGGCTCGTAATGAAAATGGTATTCTGGCTGATGAAATGGGTTTAGGTAAAACAGTCCAAGCAATCTCCTTCTTATCTTATCTGTATCATTCTTTGCATCAGTATGGTCCTTATTTGATAGTGGTTCCACTATCAACAATTGGCTCTTGGCAAAATGAATTTCAAATTTGGGCACCTGATCTTAATGTCATCTATTATACTGGACCTTCTCAAAGTCGTGAAGTAATAAGAGAACATGAATTTTTTGTTCCATATTCATCATCAAAAAAATTAAAATTCAATGCCTTGGTGACAACTTATGAATTCATTCTTAAGGATCGTAAAGAACTAGGAAATATTAAATGGCAATATTTGGCAGTTGATGAAGCGCATCGATTGAAAAACAGCGAATCACAACTCCATGAAGTATTGTCTACTTTTCATACATCTAATCGACTTTTAATAACAGGCACACCATTACAGAATTCAGTTAAAGAATTATGTGCATTGGTTAATTTTCTTATGCCTAATTTTTTAATCGCTTCTGATATTGACATTGATGCACCTGATGAGGAACAGGAAATAAAAATTCGTGAACTTCATAAAAGTCTTGAACCCCATATGCTTAGGCGACTAAAGAAAGATGTAGAAAAATCACTTCCACAAAAGACTGAAAGAATACTTAGAGTTGGTCTCTCACCATTACAAACGCATTATTATAAAAATATTCTTACCAAAAATTTTAATGTACTTAATGAAGGTGTTACTGGCTCTTCACAAATGAGTTTATTGAATATTGCTATTGAATTGAAAAAAGCTAGTAATCATCCATTCTTATTTCCTAATGCTGAATCTCCAACCAATACTAGAGAAGATCAACTACGAGGTTTAATCATGAGTAGTGGGAAAATGGTGTTACTAGACAAATTGCTCACCAGATTAAAGGAATCTAATCATCGTGTTCTTATATTTTCTCAAATGGTCCGTTTGTTAGACATCTTGACAGATTATTTGAGGTTACGTGGATATCAACATCAACGTTTAGATGGCGGCGTTCCTTCTGAAGCTCGCAAAAAAGCAATTGAACATTTTAATGCAACAGATTCGGCGGATTTTGTCTTTCTTTTATCAACTAGAGCTGGAGGATTAGGTATTAATCTCAATACAGCCGATACAGTAATCATATTTGACTCAGATTGGAACCCACAGAATGATCTCCAAGCAATGGCAAGAGCACATCGAATTGGTCAAAAAAATCATGTAAATGTTTATCGATTTGTGACAAAAGATACTATGGAAGAAAGCATCCTTGAACGTGCAAAACGTAAGATGGTTTTGGAGTATTGTATTATCAAACAAATGGATACGTCTGGTAAAAGCATTTTGCAGAGAAATACCAAGACTGCCACCAAAGCATCAGACAATTTTAGTCGTGAAGAATTATCGGCAATATTAAAATTTGGTGCTCAAAATATGTTCAAAGAAAGTGATAACACCAAAAAGCTTGATGATATAGATCTTGATGACATACTTGCGCGTGCTGAAACTCATGACACTATTGGGGATCAGGGTAGTAGTAGCTTTGGTGGCGAAGAGTTCCTAAAACAATTTCAAGTTGCAGATTTTGGTGGTGGTGATTTAAGCTGGGATGAAATAATTCCAAAAGACGAAATATATAAACTTTCATTAAGTCAGCAATCTTCTATTTCAACTGAAGAAGAAGAAGAGCAATATAAATTGGGAATGAAACGAAGGAATGGTAATAATAATAACAATAATATAAAATCTGAATCGGAATCTGAAAGTGATTATTCAAATAACTCGAGGAAAAAGGTTGGTTCAAATCATAAAAAAAAACCTGCTCATAAGAATGACGGATCAAAGAAGCAAAAAACCAAGCATCAAAAACTCGGTGATTCAGATACAAGCGCAAGTTCAAGTTTTGTTTCTGATGATTACCTTGGTTCAGAATGTAGCGATAAACATCCAAAAACAACTAAAAAAACTAATAACAAAAAAGGTAATGATGCACTTAAATTTACAAATTTTTGGAATAAACTTTTTTTTTTGAAAAGTCAAATTGTTTAACAATTTTTTTCTAGGTGCAAATGATGCAGAAAAATCAAGATCACAATCAGATGTTGATGAATCTGACAGTAACCAATCTTCCATAAAACGTGTCTCGTCCAGTTCAGGCAAGGAGTTAAGTCTAAAAGAAATTAGAGCACTAATTAGAGCAGTAATGAAATTTGGTGATATAAATCAACGTTATGATGACATAGTTGCAGATGCCAAATTGACAGGAAAAGGTAAAGAAAATTTGATAAGGATATATAACGAGCTATTTGATACTTGTGAATCTGCAATAAGATCTCACGAAGATTTGAATGACTCGCATTCAAACTCTCGTGGAAGAGCGATCATGACTTCTTATCGAGGAATTGAGAAAATTAATGCTGGTTCGTTTATACAAAGAATTATTGACCTCAGAGCAGTTAACAGTCTTGAAGCAATAAGTGACCCATCACGCTTTACAATCAGTTTTTCCCCAAAGCCTGTAGGTAGTTGGTTCACAGAATGGGGTCAAGAGGAAGATTCCTTAATTATCTCAGGCATATATAAACATGGATACGGAAACTGGCAAACTATTCGTGAAGATCCAGATTTGGGACTTCAAGAAAAACTTTCTGTTGATAAGGATGATGCCACTCTACGAGCCTCCAATATAGCAAAGGTAGCTCGTAGAACAGAATATTTATTGAAAGTGATCAGAGAGTGGGTTGAAGAAAATCAACAAAAGGTGAGGGTGGTTATTAAATTTATTTATAAACTTAATTTGTTCAGTAAAAAGTAATAATATTTTTATATTTATAATAAAAATATCGAGGCCCAAAATGATGCAAACGATGAAGAAGTGAAAATAAACCTTGTATGCAAAGAGTTGCTGCGCTCAGTCAAAGATAGTCTCCAATGGCTAAAAAAAGTAATTTTATGATTCTGATTATTTTATTAAAAAACTTTTTATGGAAAAAATATAATGAATAGTTATTTGTTTATTTTGCAAATTAAAATATTTATTTTTTTATAAATTTAGGAGTCAATAAAACATGAGGGAAAAGAAAAGGCCAGATTGATTAAAGAACACATGAAAATAATCGGATCTAAAATTGATGAGATACTTTCTACAAAGTCTGTTGAGGAACGAGATGAGTGGAAACATAATCTATGGAGATTCGTTACTTATTTTTGGCCACGAGAAGTTGATGCTGATCAATTGATTGTTTTACGAGATAAACTCATTGCTGCTGAATCAGAAAAGTCATAAATTTTTCCTTAGAATCAAAACAAAATACACATATTAGATTAATTGTATTTTTTGTGGTTAATAAGCAAAATTATATTGCAATTTTTATTTTTTATAATATACCAAAGCTAATTGTAATTTAACATAGGATAATGATTAATTAATTATTTATCCTTTGTTATTTATAGAAAAAGAATGGGGCAGGCAAAATGATAAATTTGCTAACATCGCAATTATTTTTCCATTCCCAAATAAATAAAAAAAAAAAAATTTACATCAAACAAAATAGCATAGTGAAAGTTTGTTGTTACACGAACTGTTGTACAGAACTCATTGCTTCTGAAACTTCGCCAGTATATAGTTGTTACCTCTCTAAATTGGAGATCAAGTTCAGATCCAATTCAAATCCAGTTTATCACTTACTTTTTATTGCCAGAATGTTTGCCGTGTATTGTAAAGCTACATTGCACGATATAAAAAATTAGTGTAACATTTCAATATTATTACTTTATATTAATAAAAAATCGTTGATCTGGATAAATCAAATTACAATAGGAATCACTGGACAACATCCACCCAAAGAGAACGGCGAAAACCCGTCACTCGTCGTAAAAATCATCACCTATGATCTGTATGTATTAGTAATAACAAGAATTTGCAACGTGTACCTTTAAATGTTAGATGCTAAATTTTTTTTTTAATATATTATTTCACTTTTATTGTAATAATCTTTTTTAGTATACCTTATGGAGTTATCAGGACAACATACCTTATCATTTTGGAGTTATCTAAAGTGGCATTCTAAATAGTTGCCTCTTTAGTGGCTAGAAAGCAAAACCGAAGGCAGACACGTAACGAATTACAAATTTGAAAAAATAAGGAAAAAGAATTTGCCATTAAAGAAAGTAATAAACCTGTTTGGATGACCAAAATACTCAATTTAATTCTAACATTGGAGAAACTGATCCCGAAGCTTTGTACAAATATTAAATAATCCTTGATTAAAAAAGGGCAACACTCCATCCTTGTGGACGAAATGACTTAGGCCTGGTTCATGTAAAAAGGATTGCATACCTGGTTTCAACCGTCTTTGTGATTGGGTGTAGCAATCAGTTTTTATATGATGCAAAGATGGTGGTTGCCAGCCATCATCAAGTTGCAGCCACGGATAAGACATTCTAGCGATTCGCCTGTAACTCAGGAAGGTTTTCTTTGAAGAATTTAAAGAACTCAAAGTTCTAGGCATAGGCCTCTTTTTCCAGGTTTTTTGGACGCAACAGTACTCATTGCCAGGAGAATTGTCCCCAGGCGCTTGGACGAAGTGAAAGGATATTTTATTAAATCTGACACCCAAGTTCAATATGTTAGATTTAATCATTATTTATTTTTCAACTCTTCATGGTTTTAGTATATTACTTGGGCGATGTAATTTATTAATATATTCAAATAATAACACATAACCATCATGAATATTGTATATAATAGATATGATACAATAGTTGGGAACAAAGGTATTCATGCGACAAGGAAACGATAAAGAAAAGATATGTTTTATTTATTTTGTGATAATCATCCGTGGAGTTATCATAGTATTAGTGGTAATAAATCTTATTTTTATTATTATAGAGACAAAGGTAATTTGGAATTCACAGGAGGCCATTTTAATAAACAATTGGTCTTTTGTTGAAGTGTATAATTTTTCTAAACATTTTTTTACTTTAAAAAATTCAATGGTTATTCTAAATTTATTCTTTAATATGGCATTTTTATCAATTGGAATATTGATGTCTTTATATGATTAATATTTACAGCGTGTGTCATGAAAAATTAAGTTGAATTAAACTTATTTTATGTTCTATAATAAAATTTAAATAAATTAATATAATATTATCGAATTATTGGCAATCTAAAATTATTTTATTTATGTTAAATTAAATTATAATAAATGCAAAAAATCAATCCTATATTGTTTTAGTTTTTTGTTTATAAAACATATTATTAAGTGTAGGGGTATGTCGAATGATTTCCGGGCCATAATAATACATCTTTCAAAGATCGGCGGCCTTTTTGTTATCAACACCCCATTTGTACAAAATTTCATCCATCTTGATTCTTGGGTGTCACGTTATACGTTCAAAAAATTAACCAGCCACTTTTCGAAATCTTTTATTTTTAATATATCATCCATCGGATATCATGAATAATAATAATAACAATGTTCTTCTTGAAACTAATGGACGAACATCAACAATTATCCGTAAAACAAATGAAACAAATATTTCAATTGAATTAAATTTAGATTCTATTGGAGATCAATTAATTAAAATAGATTCTGGAATTGGGTTTTTAGATCATGTAAGAAGAATGACAAATACTAATAAATATTAATGATGTTGATGATGACAAAGGTGATAAATTATTGATGACTTTTTAGATGTATCATGCACTTGCTAAACATTCTGGTTGGTCCTTAAGTTTAAAGTGTACAGGAGATTTGTATATTGATGATCACCACACAGCAGAGGACACAGCTATTGCATTGGGAATGGCATTTAAAGATGCTTTGGGAGCACCAAAAGGAATTAAAAGATTTGGATATGCATATGCACCATTAGACGAGGTAACAATGACTATATTTTTTTTATCATAATAAGAAAAAAAAGAAGAATTTATTGTTATTATTATTATTAAGTTGTTAATAAAAATTTTTTTTTTGGTAGGCATTATCTAGAGCAGTTGTTGATATATCAGGAAGACCATTTGCAGATATTAATCTTGAGTTGAAACGTGAAAAGATTGGAGATTTATCAACTGAGATGTTGCCTCATGTTTTATCATCTTTTGCTACAGCAGCAGGAATTACATTGCATGTTGATGTGTTGAAAGGGAAAAATGATCATCACAGGTTTAATTTTAGAATTTATGAATGAATAGTTGATGGCTTTTCTCTCACTTTGTTTTATTTTTATTTATTTAGAGCTGAATCATCTTTTAAAGCACTCGCTGTAGCTATACGTCAAGCAATTGAAATAACTGGCACTAATGATATACCTAGTACAAAGGGAGTATTATAATCATAATCATAATAATAATAATAATCATAATGTAACTCTGGAGGTTATTGTTTCAATTGACTGTTTGCATGTGTATTTTTTAATAATCATTATAGCTATTGAAAGAAAAAAACATATTTTGCTTATTTTGTGTATTTTGTTTATTATTATTTCAATTATAATTACAATTATTAAAAAAGAAAGAGTATATGCATGCATGTGTTGTGTATTTATTTATAAATTTACAATTGACTTGCTTTCCTACAATATATATAAATGTGTGTGTAAATAAACATGATTGAAATTTTTTTTTTTAAAAAAAAGATGATCAAGAAACCACACAATTGTCTTTTTTATTTTTCTTTACGTCATTAATCAGCGTAGCCCTTAATCTTTGTTGAGCTTTTTTATCACCATGTTCAGCAGCGCGATGATACCAAACAGCGGCTCGTGATAGATCCTTTTTAACCCCAACGCCAACTTCAGAGAAGTAACCTACAGCATATTCAGCTTTCGCCAATCCTTGATCAGCAGCACGTTTAGCCCATAAATACGCTTCTCTGTCACTTTGTGGCAACACCCCAGGACTTCCAATAAGATACCAAGCTGTCAATGCAAGACAAGCTTCAGAATGATTTTGTTGAGCGGCAATTGTGTAGTAGTGAATTGAGAGCGCAGGATTTGGCAGACAACCATTTTTTCCATACTCATAAAATTCGGCCAGTTTATATGCAGATGGAGCATAGCCTAAATCTGCAGCCTGTGTTAACAATTGAATAGAATATTTCATATCTACCAATACAATGTCCTCAATACCTTTCTCATGTAGCTCAGACAATTCATGTAAAGCATGTGGAAATTCTTCGTTTGCCAATTCAGCTGATCTTTTAAGCCATTTTACACCATCTCTAGGTTTTTTTGATGAGCCGAGTTCGCCCCTTAATTCAACAATACCTAGACGATACAAAGCACCAGGATGACCTGATGGTACCGATTTCCTATGTATATGGCACAAACATTTTTACGTATTAATTAAAGATAATACAATATTAATATAATTAATTTCATCAAAATAATTCATTAATTAATCTACTGACTTTAAAAATTTTAGAGCTCTAGCATTGTCTTTACGACAACCCCATCCATTTTCATAACATGTACTTACACGATAAGCGGCCCCAGGGTGATTGCGCTTAGAAGCTTGGACAAACAAGGGAAAAGCTTTGTCAAAGTCAGGTTTATTTTTTGGTGTACCGATAGCATTTGCATAACAATCGGCAAGGTAATATTGAGAGTTTGCATGACCTCTATCCGAAAGTTTTTTTAGTATGGATATTCCTTCTTTGCACAATTCTTCTCTTTTTGTTTGTTTGGAGGGTTCTTCCATAACTCTCGAAGCTTCGATGATAAAAGCAGCCAATTCAAACTGAAGCTCAGGGTCATTTGTTTTTTTAGCATTTTGAAGATATAAATCTAAAGTTTGAGAGTAAGGGAGTAGGGAGGCTCTGTGACCAGGTTTGAGGTGAGATTGGTTAAGCAACACAAAAGAACTAGGGCCATGTATTGAAGTTGTCATTTTTAGAACGTGTGTGTGTGTGTGTACATATAATATTATTATTTTTTTTTTTTTTTTTAAATTTTTTTTTTGATTTGAGGAAAAAAAATAATTTTTTTTCTTAAAGAAATATATCCTCTTCCCGCTTAGATATAATATATACGTACAGTATCATGCTTCTTGAAATGGATAAAAATTTTGAAAATCAAAGATATCATTGAAGAGAGGGTTGGAAAGATTCAATAATAATTGGTCGATTGATTGGTATGAAATTAACATTTTTGTATTAATCATCATATTATTAGTAATTGTGGACTACTTGTGTTTAAACACAAAAATCTTTATAAAATATTCTCTCTATTTATTGGAGATCGAATTTAAATATATTTATGCCTAAGATTGGTTGGATTTAATACCTTTGACATATATTTCCTCTCTCTATTTATCGGGACCGGGTTTATCTGAAGATTTTTATAAATATTAAATTATTTTGTTTGTTTCTAGGACGTAGTAGAAAGCGCTATTGTCGAATGTTTTTATTAAGCAATCAAAGATTATTCTAAAATATAAAAAAGAGCTTGCGAATTGTAGACCATTTTTAGGTTGTTTTACTTTAGAACAATCAATTTGCGAAGCTTTACGTAGAATGGATAAAAATACCATCTTTTGTTTGACTTGCAACAACTGTGAATGGATCAAATGTAAAATAATTTTTTTTGATAAATTTTGGCGACGAGCAAAGATCCATGTAAGTTGTTTGTCTCATGATATCGTCGTGCCACTAGAAGCAGGTAAAGATGATGGCTCTGTTTGATTTTAAAAAATTGGCAAGATTTATTTTTAGGGGTTAATTTATTTTATATGCAGGTGGAAAATATTCTTTGATACAAATAAAGTAATATATTAATATCGTATCAGATTTCAAATAATCTAAATGAAACATCCACGACAGTTAGCGAGCTATTATTACCCTCGACAAAACAAAACACGAACAAAAAACTATACCTGGACCACAGAATTCATTCGCGATTTATCGAAAAGATTTATCAAAAGAGCTTGGTAGATCGGAAAATTTTATTCGTCAATAACAAGATCGAGAAGATGGAATTCGTTGCAAATTGCATATCGAAAAGGTTTGCCCATGAACTTTTGGTAATCTGAATTTTTTGATAAAATTTTTTTTTGCAAGTGGTAATAGTAAAGAGAAATTGCTTTTGTGTATAAAATCCATTCAACAATGTATCAACATCCTTTTTTATTTTTTTAAGAGTTTCACCCGAATTCCCTGAGAAGAGAAAGTTCATAATAATAAAGTTAATTAAATGAACATTAACATTAATATAAAACACCAATTATAGACCCCGGACGAATTCAATCACTCTAACTTCATCAACATATTACTAGCGTCAACACTGTCTTCATCCATCTTCAATATCTTGTAATACTAGTGAATTTTTAACCTACCAATTTAAACTTCAAGTCGATAATCAAGAAATATTTTTTATTTTATGTATAAGAGTAAGTAATCTCGCAAGTTTCTGGTATTACTTGCACACACACACGTACGGTTAATTGGAAAAAAAAAATTTATTTTCATTTTTATTGACATATTTTTTTTTCTGGAATGACTATCATTAGTTTAGAGTTTGATAAAGAGATAGATGTTGGTAATATATTTTTTAATTATTATTGTATGAAACTTTGATTTCATCTATTTTTGCCTCCACAGGTATAGCATAGTAGATTTTTATATCATGAAAAAGAATGAGCTATAGAAATTTTGATTGATGGTAAAGCATTTGGAAGATTCGAAACAAGTATGTATTCATTCTGATGCACAATTATAAAAAAAACATGGGTGGAGGGCATTTCAAAGATATCAATCGAATCCTTCCATTTTCTATTATGTATTAATGATAAAAAAAAAAAAATAAAATAAAAAAGAATTTGAATCAAACGGAAATATTTTTTAAAACATAAATCTTTTTGAGATACAATATACATTAATGATGTAAAGCATCATATACAGAATTTGGTATTAGCGAGCGCGGTAAATTCTTTTTCAAAGATATTTTCTAATATATTAGGATATTTTTGTTTAATTTCATAGGCAAAAAAAAATTTATTTGTAAACCAATAAAAATGTACATATTTTATTTATATATAATATAAGATTAATAAAAAAAATTTTTATAAGAGAAAACAAGTATACATCGAAATTAGTTGAATTTTTCTTCCTTTAATTCATATTTTTTACTCCAATAAAAGCTGAAATTAAACTAGAAGTAACACCCCACAAAAAGATCAAAACAAATTCATAGACCGATGTGTCAGGAACATCGAATACCTTTTGAGCATCCTCAACATTTGATTCATTATGCACGTAAATGAGGTATATTGGAAAGGCGATAATGTACGACAAGTTGAATAAAAGTAACCTAAAATAGTTATTTATAATAAAATGAGAATTTAAGCCAAGAATAAGACGATTAAAGAGAATAATAAAAAAGCAATCAAAAATGCATGCATACGATTGTGTAGAATTATTGCCAACCATATTAGCTATATTTCCGAGGAGATGAACCAAAGAGGCAAAAACCAAGTATCCTAACTGCTTTGGAGGGTTGAAACCGCGAGTACCAACAGTATTATTATTATTATTAGGTAAGAGTGGTGTACTTTCTGGATTGCCTTGATTAGGAGGATGATTCTTGGCATATACTGCAACACGGAAGAAGACGAGAGGCAACATAAAGTCCCATACCAAGCCTGTTAAAGAGGTAATAGTTCAGTACTCAGGTTAATGATTGATTAACAACTCATAAAAATGGTTAACAATGCATATATAAACTTGCCTTGGGTCTTGAAGAACAAACTATCATAATACCATCCTAGCTGACTGGTGCCCGCTGTGGCGAGTACTCCATATGTTACTACGACAAGGAGGGCAATAGCGAAATTGAATTGTTTTCTGCCAGTTTGTAATAATGCTGCCAATAAACAAACTTCCATAATATTATGGAATATTCCAACGATTGCCCACACTTTGCTCAAGTGAAAAATTAGATTTGCACCCACGGCAAGAAATGTGGCACTTATGTAAGCAGTAAGGATAAAACTCAAGATGTATGTTGTCCAGCTGAGGCTGTTAATGTATAGTGATTCTTCAGATGACACCCTCAATCTTCTCATCATACTGCCGAGCCTGTTGTCGATTCTTCTAGCGGCGAAAAAGATGGCAAGAAGACTTGTCAAACCAACGACCAAAGCTACAACATAATCTGATAATCTGACTTTTTTGTCATATAAAGATTCAGAGGAAGGGTCATCGGCTTCCCATACTGGTAGACCAGTAAAATTTGATATCTTTTGTGGTGGGGGATCGGGGAAATTCACAGTAAAACCTAGATAAATTACTACCGCAAGCTGCAAAAAGACAATTATCGGTCCTACGATCCTACCAATTTTGCCGATTAATTCGATTGACATTGTGAATTTGAATTTGTAGTAAAATTAAATGTATATTAGAGAATAAGTGGTTGGCAAAAGAATTTTTATTATTTTTAATAATGATGGTAAAAAAATAAAATATATAAAAAATATAACGTCTATTTATAACTGATTAAAAAAATTGTGCATGAATCTGGAACAAAAATATTTACGGAAAGTCCAGAAAAGTAAGCTTACTATAACAATAAACTTGATGTGTTTGTTTATTTGTACGACCAAATAATTACCAAAATAATAATAGCTATAGAACTTCAATCTTTTCATTGAAATAATAAAAGCAAACAAATGTCTTGTTTAATAATAACAAGGTTTTGGGAATTTATCCTTATTGAAACTGAAATATAAAATCAATAGATGTATTTGATTATCAATCAATTAATTTATAAAAATCATTGTTTGTCACTTTTTATACTTATTATATCATAACCAAAGCCAAGTTCCCCGCGCGTGTTTTATTTCACAAAAAATGGATATATTAAAATTTTAATGGTTCTTTTCTTCAGTAGGTGTAGTAGTTAATTCTTTGATGTGAGCCTTCGTGGAACAGGAACTATACCCACTTTTGCTTAGTAATTGATTTTAAACAATATCTTTTAAATATTAAACTTTTTGAAAATGGGACTTTTTTTCCATTTTTCTCGGTCATTTTTGACCAGATTGTGTATACAAATATAAAAAAATATAATAATAATTATTAATACAAATTTTACGGATTTTGTAAAAAAGGCGAAGCACATAATTTACAATTTAAGCTTTTCAATGTTTTTCTTTGTACCTGAATAGATGAGAAATATAGATGAAATATAGATAAAATTTGTTTTATTTTGTATATTGAATGTTCTACATTTTTAAAGTTTATTGATCGTCACCAAATAATAATTACTTAAATGTTTAAATAAATACACCAAGCAGATTAAGGTGTAATGACGTCGATCAATTAGCTTTGTAATAATGATGACAATCATAATAGCAACAATAGAAGGAACAAACATTAATTTATAAGAAACTGATTGGTCCCTGTGCACGAAGATTAAAATTCGGAGATTAAATACCGTGAGTTTTTCGTAATGAGTGAGCGAATAAATGGTTAATCAGTTAATACCATAAGTTGTTAATAAAAGAACTTTTGATTTCCGGATTTAGAATTTATAATAATAAGTATTAGTATTGTCGAAAAAAAATTGTTTTTGGGTAGTTTGCGTAATGTTTTTAAAGATTCTGCACATGAAAAATAAACGTTTACACACAGTCTTAAACAATTTTTAAGCGAATTCATTATTTCCCGATTTGCAATTTTCTTGGTTTAAAAAGGAATGAATTACAAAAATTAAATTAGGGCTCCGGATTATTATTATGAAAATTTGGGTAAAAGACTTTTTTAACAAGTGGTGTGACCTATTTTGTGTTTTGTGTATAGTAGAAAATTGTTATTATTGGTCACATCAAAAATCAGGAAAATTAATATGGTCAAAGCAATAAAGTTTTTAAAAATAGAAAAATAGGCAAGTAATCGATATAGAAGGTTTTGTGTCCCTTTTCCATTTTAATAGTAAATAAATTACCAAAGACCGCTTTTATTACTAATACTAATACTAATATTATTTTTTTCAAATAACGTTTTGGAAATTATAACATCATTTTTTTCTGAAGTTACATGTCTTATATATGATGAGTAAAACTTTTTAATTTTTTGACATGTTATTTTATTATGTGCTAAAGTGGGTAAAGGAGAAAAATGTTACATGCTTAAAAGGGTAAAAATTTGGCTTGAATATTTGGCGCGTTTTCTGCGCTGTGCAACAATAATAATTTCAAATTCTCAAGAACTTGTGGTTACTTGCTTCTATGACGAAATCTAATATTAGGCTCTCTTCCCTTTCAGGACCACAAAAAAAGCCAGTTATTTTCACAGCCGTAGGAAAATTGAAATCCTTTGCTTGTACAGGTAATTCGTAGCAAAGTTAAATGGCCCTTTTCAATTCAGCAGCTTCACGTACAAGAACCAAACTCTCTTAAAAATAGGAAAGAGATCCTACAAAAAGTTTATATACCTCAAATATATCCATAAAAAATACTTGGTTTTTTCTCTAGTATGTATATTCATGTACGTTTTTAAGTATCGATTTTTTTCTCATCATTGTCCTTGTCCACATCCACGTTTTTATTCTTAAAAGAGGCGTGGGAATTAATCTAAAGAATTGCAACAAAATATATATGCAAGTCTTTCATATTCAATATTGCTAAATAATGCAATAAACTTAATCAAACAGCATTCTATAATAGGTAAATACTCGAGAATTATTGTGATGATGTTTGACTGTATATATACTAATACAACTAGAAATAAATAAAATATCGGAAATTTTATAAGCTAACTAACCACACAACATTGAATCTACTTTCTATTCTGTAACTAAATTCTGCTTTTAAATTATACCAGCACAATAAACTTGCCCGCTGATTAAATAGTGCAAACACATTCTTAAAAGAACCAACACACGTTTCAAATACCATCGCAAGTGCGTTCTCCAACTAATGATCTGTCAAGAGAACAACGCTTCCGGGGGAAAAAAAAAATCATATGCGAATTTCTAACAACAAACGATAAAACTTTTGGACATCGTGTTTGTAAAGTTATTTGAGAAGGAACCCTCCGAGATGCATTCTTTCAATCTATCTATCCAGGCCAGGTTGTAGGTACTACATACCATATTGTGACAGAATATTCAATAGATAATAATCACGATATAAAGAAAGAAATTTACTATGGTGCGGGAACCCTGTACCAGTGTTGGTAATGATGGTTATTTAACTTTTGAGCCATCAGTTAAAAAAAAAAACATTTGAAGTTGTGAACTTTTAGTTCAAATAAAATCACATGATATAAATTGATTAGGAGATCACATGCAAGTAATTTAACAAATTTGGTTAAAAGGCGCAGTCGATAGTGTTTCAAATTTTTACCAAGGCAGGCTCTTTATGTGGTTAAGAGCGTGAGAAAATATAAAGATGTAGATCTCTGAAAAAAAAAAGAATTTAAAAGGATGCGCGAATGTATAACAGAGAAATTGATTTAATATCTTTTTGTTTCGATAGGTATTATTAGTATTATTAGGTGATTAAACAATACAACAATCATTATTTCAGTAAATCTCTTTTTTATTAAACAACGTAATGAAAATTTTAAGAAGCCTCTTATTATTAATTATTTTGTATTTGTTTTGTTTTAATATTTTCTTTTTTAATTAAAGATGTCTTCTATTTTGTGTTTATCGAGATTGCACAGGCATGTAGAAGGTACACAGTGATAATTTCACCACAATATGATTTAAACTTTGAATAAATTCAAAAAATGTGAGCCAAAGGATTAAAGAAAATACGATCTGGAAAGTTCCTTAATATTTGATTGGAGCTATTCGTAAGAGATTTTTTTTCTTTTACTTTATCAAACTATCACGACAATATTAGAGTAGTAAAGTCTGAAATTCGGTAAAAAAGATCAAATTTATGGCAATTCTTCAAATACAAATCCAGTTACTCATTTTCCTATCGAATTGCCAAATGTTAGCTTTTGGAAATTTTATGAAAATTATATCTTTTTTATTCATGGATATGGATATGTTTTTATATCCTCAAATTTTTTTATTTACAAATTTCGCTATATATATAACAATGTAATAATAAATAAATACATGATACTGTTAGTGACGAAAACTATATACAATTATTATTGTGGCTTATCTATTTTGCACACAATTTCATATCTTGATTTTTCCATTTTACCCATCCTTTCATCCATTAATTCAGCCATTAATTTTTCTATTTTATCCATCCTTTCAGCCATTGATTTGTTTGTTTCCCCGCTTATTTTCTTTTGACTTCCATCCTTCTTTGGCTGTTTATCTATTAATCTACGCAGATGACATTGAGTGAACGTTGTTGAAGTAGCCAGAAAGTCACCAGGTGCTGCTTTCTCCTCCATAAAGAAGGACACATTTCTTGTTAAAGAGAGAACCAATATAAATATGCATGCCTTGACAAAGTAAAAATCGATTGGC